GCTTTATTGAGGAGGGACGAGAGCCCGTTTGAATGGTTATGATTAGCACTATGCAAAATTACTTCGCAGAGGTACTTACTCATCCGTCCATGTTTACAGGATGCCATATTGCCAATTCCCCCTCGCCACCTTCTAGATACCTCGCCTACGACCACATAACGAAAGGCGGTCATGAACTGAGAACTGTTGCGCATAAAAACAAGAGAGGCTGGGATGCCCATCTCTGATACTAAAAACAGCAGGTATTAATGGCAAACTATCTGATCATTCAGGCGTCCTGTCCAATCAAATCTCCAGTCATCCTCACTCTGCCTCTTCATGAAATCAGATGAGAATACGGAGAAATTTTGGTTGATTATGCCTAAGTACATAATACTCAGGCGGTGACTAAACTGCCCATAACTGGACAACAAGCTATTTTGTTCAAGCAGGATTAAAAAGGGTAAATTTCACCTAAACTAAGAGCTATTTCTCCTTCGGTGCAACTCCATTTGCAAATCTAGCTCAGTACTCTCTTTCCTTCGACGGAGGCTTTTTCGTTAAATAACCACATACTGTAAAGGCGACTAGAAGTCTCACGCTTGCAAGTTAAGCATCCCAGGTGAATTGTTACGTGAATTTGGGACTCTCCATATAGCTAAGGCCTGATCGGCTACGCAGTCGCTGACTTCAGGGTAGTAAGTGTGTTGATCATTTATGAGTCGATCGGGGAACTGATGAGTCAGTTCTATACTGTTTGTAATAACGTTGAGTATTTTTCATTCAGACCGGCACCATTATGAACTTTCTAATAAGTTCTCATCAGTTCATGACGTTCTAAGCTGTTTCAGAGAGTTTCTTAACCGTTCCATTATTGACGATCTACTCGGAAATCCCAGATTTATGCAGTCGTCATCCCAGACCACCTCCAGGTGCACTTGTGCCTCCACTTGCCTCCGTTAATCAGACTGTTTTCGCTGAACGTGCTGAGGCTTGTGCAGAAGAGGAAGCTAAAATATGCCAGCCTATGTCGATGGTACCTTCGTCGACAAAACAACTGGCATTGAGCACCTAAAGGATTTACTTCACTCGGTTGACCCGGATATCCAATTTAAGATGAAAGCAGAAACGAACAACCAACTGCCCTTCTTTGGCGTACTTGTGCGCCGGTGTACAACTGGACAACTGCAAACCGCAGTATTCCGAAAATCCCCCGACACGAGACAGATCGTACACTTCAACAGCAACCATCCTCTGTCTCACAAACGTAGCTGTGTCCGCACTCTATTCCAAAGAGTGGAAACACACTGCGGCAAGCCAGAAGATAAAAGAGCTGAACGAAGGTATCTCCAGAACCTATTTGCAGCCAATGGTTATCCCAGACACTTTGTCGAGAAGTAGACGTCGGGCGCACAGACGACGGCCAAATGAGCAGCAACTTGAAGTCTGGAGGTTCATTCCCTACGTTAAAGGGGTCTCTGAGGCGCTCTCTCGAGCAGTCATAGCCCACCGACCCCAGGCGACAACCCAACGCCGTCTCATGAAACCTAAGTATCCATTGTTAGTTATCGGCAGTTATCTACAAAATAAATTGCAATGAGGGCGACTGCAACTATGTGGGAGAAACCGGACGGAAGTTGCAGACTCGCCTACAAGAGCACAAATCGGCTGCTCGGAGGTTAGATTCATACTCTCAATTAGCAACGCACGTTGCAGAAAATGGGCATAGTTTCGATCTCCAGAGAGCTACCATCTAAGGCCGAGGCAAGACAAAAGCAGAACAGCTAACACTCGAGGCGTGGTTCTCCGATGCTCACACCATAAACAGGCATCTGGACCTTCCTGTAGCTTACAAGGTCCTACGTCATCACAATGGTAGAGCCCAGGACCAAACAACCACACCGGACTTAAGAAGGCCCTACGGATATAGCCTGACGATGAGTTTACTCGGTGAGGAAGAACAACCGCCAGACCGATCACCCGACACTGGTTCAGTCACCTCCCCCCGCCGGAGTGGTGACTCACAACGCACGCAGACAAAATGCCCGTCAACCATCCACCGAGAGGCCAAGGCAGCGAAAGGAGAGGAAAATCGATCAGCACGAGGCCGACCAGCGTGACACGTCACTTGGGATTTCTGGTCGATTATGTGCATTTTACGCTTTGACAATGGACAGCCGACCAAATTCTTCGAAACGTCCGCCGGAAGACGAGACGCGCCTCATCCGAGTGTTTCTAGTAGGTTCTACTCAACGGGAATGCAGGGAAGAGGGCACCGTCAAAGATTAGGGGGACTGGGATGGCAGCTTCCGGCCCCATTCAACCTACGGCCTGAATGGCTTGCGATTCGACCACGTCCTCGTTGGTAATTGTACTCTGATAACTCTTACGTTCTACCATTGAACCACAGGCCCGTGGTCCAGTCAGAGTCCTTGAAGATGGACCTTTCTAATTTCCTTGGAGATCAATGAGCTAACTTCGAGCAAATTCTTCGCATCAGATCCTCCTTGGTTCGATCCGAAAATCGATATCAATATTTCGAAGGACGCGGTGCTGGGCGTCCCCTGCTACAGGCGACTTTGCTCTAATGTCCAATGAGAGTCAAGGTCAAAGTTAGGGCAGGGAATTAGTCGCCCTTCCTGGCATTTGGTACAAGGCTATCTGCCATGTAGGGGAAAGCGTCTGTTCGCTTTACGTATCGGGTATTTCAAATGGAACCAATCAACTATGGCAGAATAACTGCTTGATATCCACAATTCATCAGTACACACATACTGAATGATCGAGGATGCTGGCGGCACGGTTTCTAGTTAAGAGCTCGGCTACGTGTTTCGCCGAGTCTAAGCGGCAACATACTGACAACGGCGAAGACAACAGCAAGCAGGCTGCACGAACTGATCTTGTTTACAAGGGAGGATTTTGTGCAGATCCATCGCCCAAAGTCCATTGACCAATTCTCTGCATTCGGGTTGAATCGTACCGGTTACCCTAATGATTACACAATTGCGGACTATGCGCAACTGCTCTTTCCTCTCTCTCTCAATTTTTCTCCATTTCTTGCTGACAGTACAGACTCAACGACCGAAATCTTCCTTATTTAATCGTCTATTCACACATCATTGCAAAACGTGCTTATCTTACCTAGTCGCCGTTTGTGTGTGCGTTTTGGGAGCCAGACGGGCTATCTTGTTCTGTCAGTCAAGGAACTAACTCCCGCATAAGGCAACTGACAGTCTCGGACAGTGAACTGGTGCTTCGGAGTGGTTTTCAGCGCGTAGTCTTCACTGACGGTTCGGCCGTCGCAACCGACGATGTCCACCTTGTGCTCCACAGCAACGTGAAGCGGACACGGTGAGTTGCGCATGACTTAGTTTATAATGAGTGCTGATTCGCGTAGCATTTACCGCACCTCTCCTCCTTTCCCATCTGAGCCCGGTACCAAGACAGAGTCATGAAGACCGGAGGTGAGGGAGAGCGCAGGCGGATGGCGCGGCCGAACCCGCACTTTGACGCTCCATTCCACACCTCCTGGTCCACACAACGATTGGCCAAGATTTTAACCAATAACAACAGCACCACAACAGGGGTCAGATGGACGAGGATGACCGGGCAGCCATGCGCACGACCAGTATACCCAGCGGAGCGTAGGCGCATCTATCGGCGGGGAACCAGGTGCCAGAGAACTGCCATCGCATGCCAGGTTTGCTGATCCTGGCATAGCAGACGCTTACAGACCTTTGGGCCCAGAAGGATGACACGTGGCCCTACATTTGCCTGGGCTGTCACCCTTCGAGGCTGGAATAGTCTTCACTGCAAACAATCTGAATCTCTCAAGATGAGCTAAAAGCCTTTCGAACTCTGCCAACTGGCGGGAAAACTCGGTCCTCTCTTCAGGACGGAGAATCAGGTTGCAGTGACTCCTTCTTAGTATAGCCTCTATAGCACTCCCACGCAGATGGGATTCGGCTGGCCCCCTTTTGTTTCTCGTTATGAAAAATTCTGGTCAGTTTTACACGGCGAACCAGGGGGTATGGAGTTAGGTCTAGTTGTGGGTTTCCGCTATGCCAGCCACCTGCACCCTTTCTCACCTCCAGTGCCTTTGATTTTCTCATGACACCGGCCCGGTTGGGGGAGGAGAGGGTGCGGTAGATGCTGCGCAAGCCCACTATCACTGTAAACTAATTCACACGCAAGTCGCCGTCCCTGATTCCACCTTGCTGTAGTGGACATCGTCGAAAACAACGCTCAAATTATCATCGCTAAGGCAAATCATGACAGATGAGAGACGCACAGATTTCTAAGACGTTTACTGTGAAATTAAGTCCAACCCAGTATCCCACTCTGAGCACTCGTAACCACTTCATAGAACTGGACAAAATAATCACAATCTTCTTTCGCCTGATTGGTATGTTTTCCGATCTGATAGGTTTGCCTGCCAAACCTCTTGTTGGCAAAATATTGGTTGCTGAACTCGGTATTACACCATATTCAGCATATAGTTTGCGATTTCTAGTGACTAAAAATTCCCCATTCGACAAACTGGGGCCTAATCAGATAGTTATTAATCCAGAAAACGTCGAACAACCGACTTCCACGTGCTCTGCACCAGAGTTATTGTGGCCACACTCGTCATTCGGGCAAGTTAATGGGTGTTCCCATCTTTTTCCTTGCAAGACGAGCCTACTTTATCCTGGGAGATTATGGTTAATGGGTTTCCTGCTCTTGTTCTCAGATTTCCGAACACATGTCAGGTCGTTTATTGATGCCATACACAAACCACACACTTATGCGTGGGGAAACAGTTGAAGAAGACCAATAATGAAAATTCAAGACCTTGGCTTTTTTAATACTGCTCTTTTGGAAAATAACAACTTCTGGTGCGCCGGAGCAAGACAAGGAAGAGCCAAAGGATTTGACTCAAAGATAAAAGTGACTGAGGTTTCGCGAATAAATCCACGAAAATACTTTCTGCGGTCGGGAAGTGCTTGCTTTTTGAGCGTATGGGAAGTTTAGACCTCCGTTTAAACAAACTGACTGCAGGATACACTTTCGCCTAAAAGGTAGAGGATACCATGACAGACAGTAAAACCTGCAATTAATAATCAGCTGCGAAAGCAGCAGCTTCGTAAATAAGTTATTTTAAGTTTTTTCAGAACAGAAGGCATGCGGAAACCGCTCTTGTAGCCACCAATCACACCCTAGGAGGTACTTTGGCAAAATTAACCGTTAGCTGCAGAAGACGCTGATCTCAAAGTACTCCACAGGGCTTACTGGGATCTATGTCGAAACAGTTGAGCCAGGCATCCTGCGAGATTACACGGTTGGTTAGACAGTTGCCGAGGAAGATATCCAGGCAGGCCAGAGTTGGCATGGCAACCTGCGTCAACATGGCGAGTTCCCTCTCCTCGATCCTCCTGAAAATTGACACCTGTGATTTTGAATATTGCAAGGGTGAAATAGAAGGAATATAACGACTTTGGTGAGGTTAAGTTTGAATTCCAATGGTCTTTGTTTACAGTACGTGGGCTAACTCATGAAATATCAACCGAAATTTCGAAACAAGTTCTCGTTTCGAAAAGCTTAATTAAGTAGGGTTGTAAAACTAGTCATCATCCAGCATAATTATATAATGATCCAGTTACCTCAGGGTGCCTTTTTTCGAATGAACATATTTTGGACTGCATGCAAGAACTATGCTCTGGAAAAAATGATTGTTTAAATAGCATGCAATTTTCTCATTGAGTTTCGATGTCCTTAAGAATTCAATTATCTTCCCTGAAAGAAATGCATACAAATATTCATTCTTTTATTTATTTTGTAGAAAACAACGTCTTCTTTCGATTGTATACTCGAAGGAGGAGTATGATTTGGTTCCAACAAGTTTCTAATTATGAGATTTTTTAATACCGTGAAATAGCCGTTCATAAACTCTCATGTCTCTGAATTTGCGAATGTGGCTTGTAAAGTTAGCAGTATTACTCGAATCCACTGCCTAATTTTATGAACCCCATATGGTCTCCTCTTAATACCGTAGAGAAATGTATGGTTTTCCGTACACGGAAAATATGCTGCTTGTAGTTTTGAAACCCTGAATGCCAGTATAACAGCAGGTCGGGTTCAGAATTATTCGAGAATTAGAAAAGCTTTTTAAAACCGAATTTTACTCCTCCTTCGAGTATAAAATTGAAAGGAGACGTGATTTTCGAGCGAATAAATAAAAGATTGAAAATTTTTATGCATTTTTTCATGAAATATAATTGAATTTTCAAGGGAATCTAAAATCCATGAGAAAATTGCATGCTACATAGGCAGTCATTTTTTTGCATGCAATCAGAAATAAGTTCATTTGAAAGCCGGCAGCCTACCGTAACTGGATCATTATAGAGTTATGCTGCATGATGATTACCCTACTTAATTAATCTTTTCAGAATTTCGGCTGACATTTCAAGAGGTAGCCCACCTGCTGTACGAAAGAAACGCTGGACGTGCTCTCTGAAGGCCTCCTTCGACAGGTCAAGTGTGGCAAATGGCATTGAATGTTGGTCAAGTGAGCGGGTGAACCTTCAAGTAAACCTGAAATCGCCCGTACGGTGGTTCTAATCTTTGTTGGTGATAGGTCTCAGTAGAACAGCGTTACCGATAAAGACGAGGGTGACCGGAATGGCCGGCAACGGTAGGGTGTAGGACCCCAAATAACTCGAGGTAGCCTATGGGCAATGGCATACGTTGAATGGTGGCAGAGGGGTTTTACGGGTGGGGCAACATGAAGGACGAAGATCAGGCGGAATTTAAGAAGACACAGAAAATGAGTAAATCTCTGCCGAAAGTCTTATCTTATGCTGTCACATGGCAAACACATTGGGTGCGATAATGTAAAAAATAGGCCTAAAACCATTTTTAAAAATAACGGATTTTGAATAACCCACCGCTGGCAAGTTTACATGCGGTCAGGAAGCTCAGGAAATTTCGACCAATAGGAACGGTGAGTAATAAGTGATGTTTGCTGTCGCACAGCATTTTAGTGTATATGCTGATGTTTCCAGCTACGCTAGTTTCTACACCCTGCCGTCACCGAATGGCCGTTTCTAGCTTATCAGCCATTGTCAATCTCGGTTACTGATTGCTGATGGCTGTGCCGATTTTCAGCCTGTTGTCCATGCAGTCAGTGAAGGACGCCCTCATGGGAATTATTAAACTTATATCAAAGAGCGAAGTCTCACCCGCTTTTATCCACATCCATCTCGCAAAACCAGAAGCTAAGCAAGGGACCGGCATTGGAGCCATTGAAGTGGATCGGTCTTGACAGCAAGTTGTCCGCCGCCAGTCTGCTCTGACCGTCGCGAGACCGTAGCAGAACGTTTTCGCTGTCTGCGGATCGTGACTTGGGACAGAATGGCAAAAAAACTTGCGAAGTCAGTGACAAGAATGCATGCAAGCATGAGAAAAGGATGTAATGGAATTGACAGGGTAATCTCAAAGGCAAAATTTGCTGACTAGACGAGCGCTACTGTTGAGAAGGCATCATTATCGAAAGTTGGTGAATATAATGAAAATTCAGCCTCCTTGCTCCGACAGTGTGGAATAAAAGGGCTTCTGCAAGACTATCACTGTGAAGCTTACCGCGAGTTCTGATGGCAACTTGCAATCTGGCGAATAACCCGACCCAGATATTTCAGTAGGTTGCCTTTTCAATTTCCTCAGAAATTAACTGCGAACTCGGAGTAGATCAGTAAATTCTAGGTCTATAGGCTCAGACCGAAATTTTTTATGTATGAATATATGACCTGAAGTTTATCATCCACAGCGGGTAACCGCGTAACATTCAGTAACTGCCGACAGGCAGCTTGTAGTATGTTTTAGGGTAAAGGGAAACCATGCTAACAGCACAGGTACTAGCCAAAAGCCCATACACACGTGTTTCGCCGATGTTCTGCCGCTGCATGACACAACTGCGAGGGGTTGGGCTCATCAGTGGGTTCCCCAGCATTCCCCTCTGCTTTCTGGCAGATACCCCAATTTAGAAATTGTTGTTTTTTTAATTTTCTCAGAAATTGACTGCAAACTTGGAGTAGATCAGTATATCATAAGTCTTCAACAAGCTTCGTTCTCTTTACCATATTTCTGGTCCGTCACCCTTCCTTCTTTCCTCCTTCCTCTCTCTCACCCTCGGACTGTCTTTCTTTTTTCCTCTCTCTACCACTCTCTCGCTCTGTTTTGAAAAGGGCAACTCGTCCGTCGGAATGAACGGCAGGAAGTACAACTCTAGGCGCGCAGTGACGTAGGCTGGGTTGAATAACTGTAAGATAGACATGCGCGGCCAAAATCGCACACCTTCTTCCCACACATAGCGTTGGTTAGTGGCAAGACAACTGAAGATGGTCTTGGGTGCAATACTTGATCTGGCCTAAATATTTCGTCTTAACGCCGCACAGCCCACCTGATTCACACATGTTGGACGAATCGGCATATACAAACTGATCGGTCTGGTGCACAGGGACTTCGACTGGTCTTCATCAGGTTTGACAAGCCAGTGGAAGCGTTTACAGGAGATGTAACCATTGTGCAGTTGGCAACTGGAAGTCAGCTCGGATCAGAGCGGAATGACCAACTCGCACGCGAAGACATTTCATGTGAACGTTAATCGGCCAAAGGGCTGGCGCATCCACTGATACATCGCATGCAGCTAGCGGTAGTTAACTGGACTCATAAAGAGTCCCCGTTGATGGGGAAAGTGTGGATAATGTACCAGATTTGGATTATGTCGAAGAATACGCACGCAGCATCGAAATAACTGTATCAAGCGCAAGGTCATAACGGCCGCAAGCAGGTGCGGACGAAGTGGGTGGAAGCATTTGACCGCGTCTATTAATGTCATACATGTGCTGGTGCCTCATTCCCCAGAAGCCAGACTTCATTCATTTGGATATCGCGTCTGTGAGAGCCGTTTAAGATCCAATTAAGAAGGAGCCTCACTTCAATGAAACAAGTCGTTCCATCAGTCAGAAACGGTCCAAGCTGCGACTTTTAATGCACTAGACTGGCTCAGAAGTGGGTCAGGTTCATTCTAATGAGGCTGTTTCAAGGCAACTGGCGACAACGTTGGGTGTCGTGAACGAAGAAGGATGAAGATACTGTTTTTGTTCCCTGTAGGTCCGACACAACAGTACCGTCCATTATTAAGGTTCGCGGTTGTGCCAAATGCGTGAAGAGGGTGCAGTTTACTAGAAAGAGACTGATAAAAAAGTTAGAACGTTACTGTAGCTCGTAGTAGCTTAATCGAGCACAGCAAAGGGTCCATTCTCTCTCTTTCGCATTCCAGCAGGCAAAGGGTTTGGAAATTTCCTGCAGACATTTATTTCGTCCGAGGGATTTGTGGGCAGCAAAAACTTTCGCAACTGATTTTGAGCTGCACCTTCCTGCTTTATGACGTGAATAAAGGATAATCAATAAGATCACCCTGGGTTTGTTCGAAAAATCAATATGATGATCAGGCGGTTACAGCTCAGCGTATGATGATAGTTCGACGATGTCTAAAATGTGCTCCACAACAAGGTACAGCAGATACGGTGAAATGCGCGTAAATTAGTTTATATTGATAGTAGACAACTCGATGAAATGTGCATCTCAGAAAACGACAGAAAACCCAGAAACACTGCTGAATTTTCTTTCCGGGAACAAAAGAAATTTGCTGTGCTGAAACATCAAACCCAGAAATTGCCTGCCTTAAAAAGAACTTCTTTGGCCACCGTTATCCAGTCCGTTTCATTCAGAGGTATAGTAAATGTCTTCAGAGAAAACAGCCGGAGTAATAATTTCCAAAAAGCCTCGTTGTAATATCTATGCCATATAGGGGAACAATGTTGCGAATATGTTCAGGCGGTGCTTACCTTGCAACACTGAAGGGACTTAGATTCCAGTTATATTCACGCTTATTAACTCTATGAAACCGACTCATATTAAAGGAACGAAGAATGCCTTGCCTAAGCGCAGCCCTATAAGCTCTGTCTATGCGATCGCATGTACTCATGGATGCAGACATAATGGGCGACCAAGAAGACAATCGACAGCCCGGTGAGTTGAGCACCTGTCTCATTGACCTTAAAGTCAGAAAACCAGAATAGATAGACTTCTTTAGTTTAGTAGTCGCTAGATGTTACACGCTTCATTGGCTTAATACTGGTCTACACGGACGGTTAAAATACTGCGCTATATTGAGGCAGCCAACAAAGGGAAGGGAAATCTGGTTTCGCCAAACGAGTAGGTTACATGCCGAAAATAATCTTGTCTCAGTAACCTCTAAACTTTAAATCCGCACGATCTTTTCAAGGCCACTTTACTTTCGCTGTCTTTTCCCATCGTGTTTTTAAGCAGTCTTTTTTTATCGTGCAGACTGTATGTTTCGAAACATGACTGCGTCGTTTCTATGTGAATTTTTTGAATAAGTTCGAACTGATGCCTACCTGATGCTTGTTCCCCTATTGAAAAACGACGAGAAGTGACTGAAAACCAGCTCAAGGATTTGACAATACAAATAAATCTTGGATAACAAACTAGTTTCCAAGTTAAGTCAGGAAAAAGATGTTTAAGTTTGCTTATTTTATTCATTTTGGTCAGGGAAGGCGCACGTTGCGGTACGAGACAGTAGTCTTCCACTTTGGGGGGCGGGGGGTGTTTTGTTTCTATGACATCCAGCGCCTACCTAAAGTGCATGCAAATGGGACAATTGCCAGCACTGGCCTCGACAGCATTTTCCTAGACGAAGAGTGACTCCCCTGTTAAAACGTTCTCTCACTTGCATACTATCTGGCCGAATGCACTTTCTAGTCAGTTATTTTCACATATGCATTTTATGGGCTTGACAGGGTCTTTGCTGTTTAGCGGGCAAACCACAGTCCTCCATAACAGCGAAAGATGTCAGGTTGGTTCTCTGCAAGTTGCTTCTGTCTGGAAGCTCGAAATGAACAGGAGCACATACAAGCACGCAAAAATTGACATTTTATTTTCCCTCCCTGGGGCAAGAAATAGCCAAGCCGTACAGTCAAGAAGGACCTGAAATATTTGATTTCCAAGACTCGATTATGCCGCTCCAAAAGCATACTTTTTGTCATTAAATGCAAGAGAGTGGGTTTCCTATTGTTAAGAGCCTCCGTCGAGTAAGGTGAATAAATTCGCAATGAGATGTGCACTTACGTTTGGCAGAAGGAGCTGCTGGAACCACTGAATGAGCTGGTACTTGAAGTAACGTCTTCGTACAGACCAGTTGCATAACGTAGTCAAATCTGCATGGAAAGGGAAACTTAAGGTTCAGCGATGATACCAATGTAGACATCAAAAAGTCAATTCCGGCAAACGTATGATTTCGATTATTCCTCATCAGGCCTGTAAAATTATATAAGGGAGGGCAGAATAGCAAAAGTTAAACATCCAATAAAAGCTGAAGGACGTTCAGAGGTCAGTGGTCAGATCCTAGTTCTGTCTGAAGTTTAAGGAGGGGGAAGGCGTCTGGCGATTAGCTGTCCTTGTTTCGGCGTTATAACGCGACGTGGCGGGTATGCTGGGTCTGTCTTCACCCAGGGGGCCTTAGTGTCTGTACAAACGCTTTATGCAAACACAAGGCTGGGTTGGCTAACCGTATGGCCACTACTTTTGCCGTCGCAAGCGTTGGATGACGCAGGAACTTGGAGTGTCTCGTCGACACTTTATAGATGACTCGGAATGCTCGGTTGACGTCTACCCTGTGAGCGCTGTCAACCAACTGAGCCACAATTGCTCTAGAAATGGACTTTTCCCCACTTCGATTTAGCCAAACAGGATGGCGCTCACGCATCCGTTCGATCAATATAACCTTCCCCACAAGAGCAAGTGAAACTTAAGGGTAATCATCAAGTAAACTACCTCCTGGGTGCATTACACACAGAAAAAGGTCAATCTTTCATTGTTCGGGTCTCACCGCAGCACACGCGCGCACACGCGACAGTTCGACCGTCGATTTCGACGATGCCCACCGTGTGCTCCACAGCAGGATGGGAGCGGGGAAAGTGACTTGTGCGAAAATTAGTTTATAGTGAGCGTAGACTTGCGCAGCATCTATCGCACTCCCTCCTCCCACCCTGGACCCGGTGTCAAGACAGAGTCAAGAAGACCGGAGACGGGAGGAGGGTGCAGGTGGATGGCACGGTCGAGCCCGCACCTTGACGTTCCACTCTACATCCCCTGCTCCGCACAACGAATAACCAGGTGTTTGATTAAAAACAGCAATGGGGTGATGGCAGGGGTCCCAGTGTGCGCGACGTTCGATGGCAACCGAATCCGCCACCGCACTCCGAAATGTCGGCATTTGTTACGATGTGCAAGTCTGATAACAAGAAGCCAGAATCCGATATGGCCCCGTGTTGGTCCAGCGCACCTACCACGTGACCCGCTTGAGGGACACACACACATCGGAAATAAACAATTAAGAAGGATGAACAGAAAGACCGTGAAGTGGATAGTAGGTGGCTAATTCGAATGACAATATCGTAACTTCACAAGGCGGAAACTGTAGGCGTCTTCTGCCTTCACTGTCGCCACTACATACGCAGGCTTTAATGTGATACTCCACTAGTCATTTACTAGCATAAGGTCAAAAGGTCTGAAAGCGTTTACAATGCCAGCATCAGCAAACTATGGCCCTTGCAGCCTGGTATACGCTGGTATTTCCCAGACACCTGGCCCCCTACCGGCAGATGCGCTTGAGGCCCTGTTGGGTGGGCATGGCTGCCCACTCATAATCCTCGTCCTTCTGACTCCTGTTGGGGTGTTGTTGTTGTTGGTGGTCGTGGTGGTGGTGCTGGTGGTGCTGGTGGTGCTGGTGGTGGTGGTGGTGGTCAAGAGCATGTTGTGGAGTAGGGGTTGTGGTGGAATGCCTAGGTGCGGGTCCGGCCGTGCCGGTCACCTGCGCCCTACTCCGCCTCCGGTCTTTTTGACTCTGTCTTGACACCGGATCCAGGTAAGAAGTGGGGGAGAAGAAATGAGGTAGATGCTGCGCAAGTCTACGCTCACTATAAACTAATTCCCGCGCAAGTCAGTGTGCCTACTGAAACTTGCTTTGGAGCAAACGGCGGACATTGTCGGAATCGACAATCGAACTGTCAGTACCAGCACGACCTCCGCACACCCCTGGTCCAGCTCATCAACTCGATACAAGTTGTTTACGAAATCCAAAACAATTTCGCCCCCTCCGAATCCTAATTTTACAATTGGCAGAGAGTTGAATGGTGCATAAGAATGAGAAGAGAGGATATGACCAACACTGGAGAAGCCACCCCACGACAAATCAACACATTCTTCCCTGGGATAAACTCGACACGCTTCCATCCACCATATCGAAGTACGAGACGTGGCTGGAAAGGTTGCCAACTGACATATGGACCTGATTAAGACGTTATCTTCGTTGAGTCCTTCCATATAGCATAGCGCCGTACAAGCAGCCTTGCTTCAGTCCACCTCAGCCGTTGGACTGTCCTCACCATCACCACCACCTAACACGGCTTTCCGAGCGGGCAAAGCTTAACGTCGACGGAATCGTTAAAAGTAAGTGTACATCTTTCAACGCCACGGTTTTAGCGCACCGTGACAGATTCACCAGACAAAGCGTATATAAAGGATCGTCAAAGCAGCCCAACCCCGATTCAATCTCCATTGCTTTCACACGAATTGCATAGGTATTACGAGAATGCGTCCTACCCTAAGCATGTGTCCATGTTAAATTCGAGCCAGTCCCCTACGCTACTTAGGCTGACCTAAAAAACCAATTTCGAAGGCCAAATAGCTGCCCCGACTGGATAACTGTTTACATTGCTCTTGGGGTAGATAAAAAGGACGGTGACAAGGACTTCCGCTATTTGCCGTCTGAGAGTTCGGCCAGAGAGCGGAGACTGAGTCGGCTGCTGTTTCGATATCAGTTGCATCCCAAGAAACATCAACAACTAGAAACGCAAGCATGCGCGTGCACTGCACAGTGGCTGACATAAACTGAAACAGCGGTGCTGTTGAACCACTAACTAGACATTATCCGTGAAATGCCAACGCAGTTTGGTTATTCATGTTAATGTTTTTAGCCTTTATTAAGATGCATCCCGCGTAATCACGATCTCCTCTTCTAACAGCATAAAATAGTCATGTCCTGTTTAGAGGGAATTTTAATGTTAAATCTGCGACAAGCAGCCTTTGTGTTTCGGTAAACTTTATAAACAGGGAAAAGACAGCAGAATGAGCGAGATTTCAAAGGGTTGCAATTTAAGTTTGTATCGCTTAGAGATCTTCAGAAGGAAAACGTCTTCCGGGGTATCGAGGGCCGACTACTAACTTACGGTAGATGTGCTGTCTCGTAACCTAAATTCTGAAATGTGTTTCAACTCGAAAAGAATGCATAAGTGGGGTTGTAATATTAATTGGCACGTCGCATAATGTTCCAGTCGCGTTGGAATGCCGACTTTCGAACGAGCTCCTTATCGAGCGCCTTTGTAAACTGCATCCCATAAAAAAATGACAATTTGATTAACATGAATTTTTCTAATTGATTTTTTGACACCTTCACAAATTTGATCATATCTAATGGGCAATATGTACATAATATTCTTTTTTACTCATTCGGTAGTTACTTGCATCTTCTTTAAGTATTATACTTGAAAGAAGAATAATTTTCGACTTTAAACAGTGCCCATTTATGAGAGTTCTCAAAACAGTGAAATATCCAGTAGTACAGCATCGCATTAACCCATTCATTAACGATGCTTATGAAGTGGACCGCATGGTCTACATTTATTTTAAAATACTATGAGTCATATATGTCCTCTTCATAACAACACATAAAAATACATGACTCTTTTACACGAAAGTAACTAGCCTGTAGTTTAAAAACCCTGAATGCAAGCACAACGGCTGGTCGGGTTCAAAATTATTCGGGAATCGAAGCCAGAAACACTCCTTCGTCAAATATAGCATTTAAAGAAGACTAATCAGCTATTGAATGACTAAAACTGAGAATGTTTTTGCGCAAGTTTTCTATAATCTATAGGACCATCGAAAATCGATGGAATATCACACTGGTACATAGCCATTTTTTACGAGATGTAGTTTATGCGGGCGGCCGATAAGGAGCTCGTTCGAAAGCCAGCATTCGGACGTGACTGAAATGTCTTGACATTATGCGACATGTTAATTAGCGTGACAACCCTACTTAAGCAATCATTTTGGATTGAAAAAACACCTCAGAATTTAGGTCAACACTTTAAGAGATACAGTATCTACGTTTGTGAGGTGAAATTAGTTAGTGAAAACGCTGAGCACCCGGAGGAATATACATAATGAGCATATATATATATCTGCTATGTGGTCAGAAGTCAAAATGAATGTGTTACTATTTATTTTTATTAGAGCACCCACGACCTACCTCGGCACTCAGAATAGTAGCGGATGATGGAGTCAGGGGTTGCCCGGTGACCGTGGAAATATCGCTCATCACCGCAACGTGGGTCGTTGTGTTGGCAGTAGCAGATGTTTCTGTAGAGATCGCAGAGATGCGAGTAGGTGACACCGTCCACGCACACCTGAAGGTAGTACACACAGGGAGGGTTAATGCCTTCTCGTGCGCATTCAGTTAGGCATTCACGCTGACGCAGGCTGACAGATAAAATAACCGAGAGGGCCGATTTTTACTGCGAATCAAGTGGGCGCAACTCCAGGGTTCTAGACCGATGGGTTTTTTGTTTAATCGCTATCACGTTGGATGCTGGCAGTAGGGTGCTGCAATGCTTACATGAAACCACGCACCCCAAATGTCACTCGAATGTGCTAATCAGCAAAATATAAATACACAATAAGTACAGTAGGTGGTTTAACTCATGAAATGTCAGCCAAAATTCCGAAATACGTTTTCGTTTCGAAAAATTAATTAACGAGGGTTGTAAAACTAATAATCATGCAGCATAATTTTATATTAAGTCAGTTACCGCGAGATGCCGGCTTTTGAACGAACTCCTTTCCTATGTAAAAAATGACTACTTAATTAGCATGCCTTTTTCTCACTGATTTTCAATGTCCTTCAAACTGAATTATGTTTTCTGAAAAACGAGCATAAAAGTGTTCATTATTTTGCTCATTCGGTAGAAAATTAGGTCTTCTTTCAAATTTTATACTTGGAGGAAGGGTATAATTTGGTTTTAAAAAAGTTTCTAATTGCGAAATTTTTAATACCGTGAAATGACCGTTCATAATACGTCATGTCTCTGCATTTACCAATGTGGCTTCTAAAGTTGACAATATGGTCCAAATGCACTGCTTAATTTAATGAACTCCATATGATCACCTCTTAATGCCGTAGAGACATGTATGATTTCCCGTACGCGGAAAATATAGGGCTTGTAGTTTGGGAACCCTGGATGCAAGTGTAACGGTAGGTCGTGTTCAAAACTGTTCGGGAATTAGAAGAGTGTTTGAAAACCCAATTATACCCTTCCCTCCAGTATAGAATTGGAAGAAGACATAGTTTTCCACCAAATGAGCAAAGGAATGAATATTTTTCTATGTGTTTTCCTAAAATATAATTGATTTTTAAGGGCGTTGAAAATCAATGAGAAAAATGCATGCTGTTTATGTAGTCATTTTTTACGGAATATGGTTCGTTCGGAAGCTGGCATCCAGAGGTAACGGAATTATTATAGGACTGTGTTGTAAAGCGATTACTTCTATAACCTTACCAGAATTAAATTTTTCGAAACGAAAACGCCTTTCGGAATTTCGGTTGACAATTAATGAGCTTGCCAACTTACTGTATATGTCAGGCTATTAGGGCTATTCCTAAGTGCGTGGTGTTATTAGACTCGCGTTGTGACGTTGATAAGATCAACCTACATCGATGTTACGGTATGACCCAGCCGATCTTAAAATCATGACTGCTTTCTCCCAGTCATTTTACCGTCAGATCGAAAATACAAAGCTGCGAATTTGGCTAATGAGGCTGACTTCCAACAGTAGACATTTGAGGTTGAAAGTATTAAAGGATGAGCTGGCGCAATATCAGCAGCTCGTTCAAATATTGCGGATAACATTAAATGCTCTGACCTCTCAAGTTAAGACGAGTGTTTTAAGTAAAGGTTTGGTGAATTTGTTTTGTCCGGTTTGACAAGAAAAAACGATCCCTTCGTGTTCTTACTTTCTAGCTCTGTGCAAACTCTGCCACTAGAATTTCGTGAGTGTTGGTGGAGGAGATATTGTCACGGCATTTGCGAGAACCTTGAAACTAATGATTTCGAGGGACTTTTAACTAGTTGAGTTGATAATAGGACTGACACATACGCCCCTCTAGACAGGACATGAGAACAGGAACCGTTCACGATGCGAGTGACTTTGAGCCAACCTCCAGCGTTAGGTTTAAGATTAGGCTAAGGTTAGGGATTAGGTCCGAGGCTGAAGTTGAAGTCAGAAATAAGGTAAGTCAGGATCAAGTTTGGTGTTAACTGTAGGTTTAAGTTTTAAGGTCAATATTAGGGCAACAGTTCAGTTTTATAATGCTGTTATTGTTGGGGTTAGGACACGGAAATATTTTGCGCAGATCCACTTTTAATACTTGGGCGAAGCGTGCCTATTCACATGTCCCGTCTAGGTGGCCGCATAAGTCAGTCCTACCGACTTAATATAAAATGTTAGTACTTCGCCGTAACTTCAGGCACTAAAATACACACTGTATGACATATTTTAAATGGCATAGAAAAATATGCGATTTTATTTACGCGGAACGTATGCACCTTGTAGACTGAAATAACTAAGCGCTAATGCAACGAACGGTCAGGCTGAAAATTATTTGGCAATTAGAAAACCTTTTCAAAACCTATTTATACTCCTTCCTTGAGTGAAAAAAATAAAGAAGACGTTGTTTTCTATTAGTTGACTAAAAGGAAGCATATTTTTGTTTATTGTTTCTATAAGATATACTTGAATTTGCAAGACCATCGAAAATCAATGGGAAAAATGCATGCTACATAAGTAGTCATTTTTACCGAGTACAGTTTATACAGGAGATTGAAAAGCAGTGTATGCAAAAGCTGACATCCTGCCGAGTCCGAAATGCTATAAGATTGTGCCAAAAGATAATCAGTATTACAACCGCGCCTAAGTAATCCTTCCCAACCGAAAATGCATTTCAGAATTTCAGCCAACATTTCCTGAGATTGGTCACTCACTGTAATATAGAATGTTAGTACTTTGCCGTAACTTCAGGCACTAAAATCCACACTGGATGGATAATTGACTACGACATATTAGGTCAAAAAGGAAGTCACGTCAATCAGTCTTCTGTTTCCTCCCATTTCCTCCACCTTGGTGAAAAGTTGTTTGCATCCCGACCACTTTCCGTAGGTTACTTTACTTACAGTTTACAAGTTTTTGTTAGGGATAAGTTAATCCGGAACCGCTTACCCTTGACTGATGGTTTGACCAGTCCGACGGACAGGCATCATAGCAGAGACACTTGCCCTTCCGACAGTACTCGCCCATGGAACACTTGACATCAGCGCAGGAAGTTTCATAGTCTGCAAGCAGAGAAGGAGGACTGTTTGAAAATTTTTCCAAAAAATGGATCTCAATGCGCAAACCAAGGCTAAGGAAGTAGGTTCGACAGAGATTCTGCTAAATATTCTGTTATGTGGGCTTGTGCTCGTTAAGGACATGGAATTACTTCCGATACCAACCTCTGTCACACCTATCCAAGACCTATGTAAAAGACGACTCGCGGCCCTATGGGCCGGGTACTTTAATTTCAGCCTTTTCCAATTTATTAAAAGCAGACGGGTTATGGAAGGGTTCCGTAGTTGTTTGCCCCCTAAAACGAGCCACGCGGTAGACATGCTGGACCAACAGGGGGAATAGATGGGAGTCCAGCAGGCGTTAACGGAAATGCGCACCACTAAGAAATGCCAACATTGGGGGCTTCCGGAAAACAATGGCACAACTTTGGTGTGCAATATGGTGCACGCTGGCGATCAGGTAGTTTCATGAACTGTGGATGAATTCCAGATGAGTTCGCAACGAAAACTCTGATGGAATAGGCTTGTATTTTCAGCTTCGTGTTTTCTGCTGTAATGAGCGTCATGGATCCACATAAACTACTGAAGTGAAACGGGAGGCGCGATCGCTGGGACAAGAACTGTACTTGCCCGGACGTTTCGAATTCCTGCTAGGACTCATCATCAGTGACAATAGCAGATACGGAAAGCTACCTACCAGCATATCTGTGTAGAGCGTAAAAGGATTCTTTACGATCAGGTAATACGACCTCGTTCTCGATCACGAATGCCATTCAATGCGACTTACATTTATCCTCCTCAAGATAAATCAACTTTGAACTCACTATTATGGTCATGCATCATGGGCCGCCAACTTCCCTATACGCTAAAATCGTGATCACTGCCATTCATCTGCGTCGCGCCGCAGTGGCCCAGCTCCTTCTACCTGGGAGAGTTATCCTAGTGTGTTTCAAACTCACAGAGGATATTACAGCCTGGACCCTTAAAGTTCGGAAGGCCTTCAGTAGGTCTCCATTTTCACTTTGCCGCCCTGGCGACACTATGCTGAGAACATAGAGGCTGCCGTTACGACAGCGTTCCTCTACGACTAAGCGGTCTGGGGACAAAGCGTGGGCAACGGGTTCCTGGAATTGGGAGGGGGAAGGTATACTCAACATCTCTGCTGTAGTCAAAAAATTAACTCCCGTTAGATCGGTCACTGTCATACTAGAGCCTGTGCTACGACTATCCCACGTTGACGTAACTACAAGCTCTGGCCTACAGGAAGGACTGAGAACTACACACAGACATCTCGAGAGACTCGATCAAGTGCCTGAATATCAGTCAAGGGAGGTGGGGAAACCCCTTACGCAATATCGGCATGCAAGCAAATCCGCCGCGAGAACTGGTGCTATGCTTCTAAGTCAACCGAGTGCATGAAGATGAGGAGATGGGACCAAAACTGGGTAACAATCGGGAGATGGCACCCAAAAAAATCCGTTATCTAGAAAAAATATCTTTAACAGTGAACTCAAACGCCTTCAGGCTATATCAGCGGTTGCAGGCCTACTTTCACGCACTACTTGTACTTTCCCCGACAGCCTAACATGGACTGGCCGAACGAACATCGCAGGAGGTTGCATGGACGATCGTCGCTGTTACGCAACCTTCCCCATCGTTACACAGGTATACCTGAATATACGGCATACATTCGCATTATGGCAGTTTATTACAAAACAAAATCACTTTTAAATAGGATAAGTCTGCACAGCATGGGACATAAACAGTTCCCAGGCATCGGTCAAAGACATGGCATTGAGGTCAAACCAAAGACGATACTGTACTTCGTCTATGTGAGCCCACACAGCTCGACCACATACAGGGCCTCCCTCGTGGAGTTTCCTTTTCAGTCTACTCCAGTAGGCCTCAATGGTATTGGTGTGCCGTCCGGTGGTAGGGTTCTTGAAGTTCTTTGAGTGGTTAACAGAGAAATGTAGAAAACCTTCTGAGGGAAGACGATTATACGCCTTCCACTCGTCCGTTACCACTATGCTGTCTTTGGCGACCCTTTTTGTAATAACGGAACGGAGAGCGGGCCAACTTCGATCATTCATCTGTTCAAATAAGGCTTTCCGTCGGCTAGTATCGTACATCCCGCCCAGCCACCACCCATAAAACCCCTATTGCCACCTGTCCGGTAAGACAGGCTGCTTTGATTAGGCGGATTTATTTGGGTGCCATCTGCCGACTGTTACCCAAAACTGGAACGACGGGGTACACCGCGCCTTCCACGTGTCCTCCTGCCAACGCACATATCGGACGCTCCTTGGCCACATGGATGTCACATCCCGCACAACAAGGAAACCAAAACTGTAGGAAACACAGGGGCGGGGACAGTAAATCGACGAATGCCGCCAACTTCAGTCAACCCCTCCTCCAATTAGCTGGTGCCGTCGAGGCAAGTCTTAGTCGTTGCGAGCGCCACCGTCAAACAAACCTCTTCACAACTGTTCAAAATCTGTCAGTCTCAGAAACTACTCGATCATAGCCTGCAACAGTGAATCCTAGAAAGATCAAACCATGCTGACAAGTAGAAACCCGACGTGGGGTATAAGGACCGGAACGTCTTCGACAGTCCGCTCACTCGATCGCCGCCGATTTGTAATGCTGCCCTTCTGTTCGCCTCACTCTTCCTGTTAATTCGACTCAGGGACTACGCTGGGCTTCGAACTTACTTAAGACGTCTGTTTTCTAGCCGTCCAGAGTGAAGGAGAGTCGATGACGCCAGCGCCTCCTCTTAGATCCCCAACAACATCTAGCTGCCCATGCTTACTGGCTTGAAGAAAGGATATGGGTTACATGTCCTGCTTAAAAATAGCCTAAATACCGATACTCCTGTCTGTAAATCTACTAGCAAAACAGTCGGTGCAAGTACCTTACTTGCGGGTTAGCATAGCCTTTGTACAGCTTTACTATAGGAAGATCAAATGAATCCTATCAAAGTAAGCCTGTTGAACTCACCTTCATTTGATAGCTGAAAGAAAGATGAAAGCATCGGTTTAAAGCCAATAAAACCAAAACAGCTACTGCAAATCAAATAAGGTTAAGTAACTAAAACCACAGGACTATATAAATCTACAAAATCGATCCACTGACTTACCGAAAGAAATCGGAGCAAAGGCAGAGCCCTGGACAAAGCGAAATGTACCGCCATCACCAGTTTTCAACCTCTTACTCGTTTGCACGGAATATCTCGTTTGTTCCCATTTTCTACTCATTTAAGTAGGCGAGGATGGTGTGCAGTTGAATTAACGTTTGAGTAATTTGATGAAATAAGTAACTCCCACTTCATTTGTAACCTTAACTATCTCAAAATTACAGATCTGCCAAGTGATTTAAGCACTGGAAAATTACTTTAAAAACAGAAGACTGCCTACTTTAGTAGTAACTCCCGACCCAAAGTGGGACCAAATAAAACGGTCAGAAAACAATGACAGCAACTCGGCAGGGAGTTTCTTGTGCGGTTAACGAGAGAGGGTTACAGTAAAGCTCAGGCCTGTTTAAGGGCTACTTTAACTAAGTAAATTTCGAAGGCAAATATATTTCCTAAAAAGGTCATATGCCTGAAATAGTAATGTGTTAGACAAATTGCTTTGAACCTAACTGATGATTGACAAAATTTTGGAAAGTTCCCCAAAAATAAGTATGAATAAATGTGCGTTTTTTTCTGATCGACTTCGACGGTACTTGGCTTTGACGACTCCACTGTTTGTCTTTCTAGCGCATAACGTACCACATATCAGGAGAATGCCATAGGAATAAAATTTTGCCCATATCAGCCATGAGGCCGGAGATTGTCCGCGGAAAATATATTTGTGCTGCAACTAACTTACGGGATGCGATCATTGAAGCAATCAGTCGGCGTCAATTTGATTTTAAAGGAATATTTCCCCGGAATGAATTTAAAGCAAGCAAGGACAGCAGAATTTAATGGTACCACAAAATTTCGCGACGGCTTCTCAACTGCTGCCGGTCGTTGCATAACAGAAATAACAAGTGAGAAAGGTACAAAGGTTTGAATTTCGACAGAGAAAATCGATGTAAAACAGCAAGGTCAACATGTACTGCGCGTATATAATCGATAAAATGGTAACTTCAAAATACACTTTTTCATTCTTATGTTGCTAGTGAATGATTGCTGTGAAGACTAAGAAGCTGTGTGATCTTCGTTGCCTTCCTTCAAATCACGCTTTTAAGTTCACCGTTCGAACTTCTTTTGAAGAGAATCTGCTACACCTTACTGCCGCGTGTTCGGCCATTCTCATTCGGAGCTGTCTTCCGGTTTCTCCGACGTAGTTGCTTTGTCCGCAACTGCACCAGATCCGATAAACGACTCCAGACGTTTCTAGCCGTGACAGTGCGTCTTTCAGTTTCATGACCAAACGCCTGATGGTTTTCTCCGGTCTATGTGCCACTGCAATGATCACACCAAGTGCGACGATCCCGGATGAAGGGGGAAACCGTGAATGTTCATAGGTATGCGGTAGCATGGCTACTGCATCCTATAAATACCGCAGCCCCTTGTGTAAAAACCACCCGTTTCTGCCTTTTTGTCTCTGATGATGGATTCGAGTGGGAATCCGAAACGTCATGCTTATAAATCTCTTGTCCCGGCGATCGTGTCTCCTTCTTCAAGTTTCCATTTTATTGAAGAAATAAAGCATCAGAAAATTTCCAACAAAACCATGATATCCTTGGATGTTGCATCACTATTCGCAAATGTACCACTTGATGAGACTATTAATATCATATGCGCCCACGCGTCTGAAACCCGCCTTTCACCCGAAATATTACGTGACATGTTGAAACTTTGCACGAAAAACGTTCAATTTCTGTTCAATGGACAGCTATACAGACAAATCGATGGAGTAGCAATGCGAAATCCTCTTGGTCCAACCCTTGCAGACATTTTTATGGGTCACTTAGAAGAAA